CTGTGAGCGTGTTCTTGGACATGTTTAAATGTTATGAGTGTGCAATCGTGGAGCGACTGTTTGCCGAAGCCAGGCAGGTTGGATACCCGCCTCGGATGATGTGGATGGTCCTTGCATCCTATCGGTGCCCTAGGGTGATTCAGGCGTTCGGTTCGGTGTCGCGGCAGGTCGTGGCCAATCAAGGCATCTTTGTTGGATGTAGCCACGCCAACACTATGATGCATGTGCTCCTCCACCGTGTGATCGTTAAGATGAGGACCCTATACCCTACGGCCTGCCTGGCCCAGGGTCCTCATGGACGATTCCAGCTTTCAGTGGGTTGGTAAGCTGTTTAAGTTTAGTGAGATGTTACTCGCCGCGGTTAGATGGCATTGCAGCCAGGTCCTCAAGCTAGGTTTTAATCCTCCAAGCGGCCAAGAGTGGGCATGCGGCTACGGCGGTGGGAGCGCCGTCGAACTTGTCGTCGTCTGCTCGCCTGGTGAAGCTCCGCAGCCACACCCACGTGCAAAACCTTGGCCATGAGGTTTTTTTTTTCTGGAAGGCCTGTGAGGGCCCAAGAACAGCTACGTCTCAAGAAGTTGCTGCGGCGTCGGGACAAGCTGGCCTCCCTCCGTCGTGCTGCGTTCAGCGAGGTAAGTCTGTTGTGGCGCACTGGGCTCATGCCCGCTGGGTCGCACGGGGCTGGGGTTTCTGGGCTCACGGATCCGACCCTCGGGACCCTTCGTACCATGGCGGGAACCTTAGTGGGCGCGAAGCGGTCTGGGTCCTTGACGGCCTGGCTTGCAACTCAGCCTGACCCTTTTTATTACCCATATTCGACGCGACGGTGCCGCTGGTCCAACGCTATGCAGCTGCAATTTGGGACTCGAGGTTCTCGCTTGGCCGACTCCAAAAAGCGCGGGTGGCCGCCAAGGGTCGCATCCTCGAGAGGCCGACGTGTAAGTCATGCCGAGGCCCAATTAGTGCAGTGCTTCTCAGTCTACACCGCGTCGGCTGGTCGATGTCTGCTGCGCATGCGCTGGTGGACGACCAAGGTTTGCAGATTGATGCGTTGCGAACCGCGCCGCCCGATGTGAAGGCACAGCTGCGGTCGGGGATCCAGAGGTGGCAGGCTAGGAAGATTTTGCCCCACCTCCCTCAGGCTGGGTCCGAGCGTCTGCGGATCCGAGGAGTGCGAATAGCAGTCCTCAAGATTCGTGACAATGCCCGTCACGCAGCTCCCCGCTGCTTGATAGGCAACGCTTTGTGGTCGCAAGAGAGAAGGTATGAGGCTGACCTGAGCGACAGCAGCATGTGTAAGTTACCTGGCAAGAATGTTGTAGGCTCTCTTGGTCATCAGATATATGACTGCGACGCTGCGCTGAATCATCCAGCGCCCCAGGGCAACTGGTTCCCAGATGATATTATGTTGCGCAGGTCTGAGCTCAGGGACACGGGTCGGTTCGAGGCGGGAATGCAGGTATGGGATTCTCTCGAGGCCTTGCACGGCCTCCCGCCTGACCCCGTCGCTCTTGGCCCCGCCCCTGACAAGCTCCCTGTGCGCACGTGGGGTGAGACCGTAGCGCCATGGGGGCGGCGCGTCTGTACCGACGGTTCGGGGCTGCGCAGCAGCAGCCCCGAACTTAGGCGGTGTGGATGGGCCGTGGTCGAGCTGGGCCCGCGTGGGCCCCCGATTCGGGCCCGCTTCGGGGGGGTTGCCTGGCGGCGCTCAGGCGGTGCCTCGGGCCGAGAGGTTTGCGGTTTTCCAGGTGCTTAGAGTCTGCCCCCTGAACGCGCATGTGGTGCCAGACCACTTGAGCGCGGTCTTGGAGGGGCAGCCGTGGGACCCTGGCTTTGGCGGCCAGCGGAGGGCGCCACGCCGCTGTCTGGGGGCAGATCTTTCAGTTGCATGACCGCCCTGGTACCAGGCCGTCGTTCGACTGGACTCCCGCTCACCGTGATTGTGATGTTGTGGTCGCGTCGGGATCCGGGGTCGAGGTGCAAAACTTTTTAGGGAACACGTGGGCCGACTTTTTTGCGCGTATCGGAGCGGACTCTCACGCTGCTGCTGATATGACGCTTGAGAAGGTCCAGAGTGCCGTGATCACACAGACACGGCAGACTTTCGATGTTCTGCCCAGATTTGTTCAGAGTATGGGCGCGTGCGCCCAGGAGCTCTCGGCCCCGACTCCCGTGCTGCGGCGTGCGCGAGAGCGTGAAGGAGTGAGCGGGCTGGCGCTGCTCGAGCACGATCTGTACCACTTCCCGTCCTCTGGGGAGTGGCGGCGTAAGAGATGCAATCTGTATGCCAAGACCCCCTCCTCCCTCGCCCAGCTCCGTTATGGCAGCCGCCGCCACTGTGGGCCTAGCGCGTTCCAGGCGTGGCAGGCGCAGGCGGTGTTCGCGACGCGAGATGAGGAGGGGGTGGCTTTTTCTTCGGCACCTGCGGCGCTTGAGGCTGCTGCTCGGTCCCTGGGGTCCGTTTCTGACCTGGCCCAGGTGCCGCCGACTGAAACCCTCACCGCTCGGTTTGTGTCCCTGAGCCACCAGATGGAGCAGGCTGGCCGAGTGGCCTTTTTGTTCGTTGTGCTCAGCCCACGTCATCCTCCCAGGAGGTCTGCTCCGTGGGCTTGAGAAGCGCTGTCTTGGTCGTTCCCTGCACCCGTCGAATCGGAGTTCCCAGGCGACCAAGATTAAGCACGCGTCTCGTGGCCTCCACCCGCGCACGGGGAAGCCACTTGATCCGATTTAGTGTGGGGGGGGGGCCTGTCGGGTGCCGCCTCGACCGCCTGGTCGGGGTGGGCGCCGCAAAAAATTGGATGGCCCCCCCTCCCCGTTTCTGACCAGTGGCGCGCGTTCCATCCCAGGCTCTGGTAAGTCCCTCCCCCTGGAGGGCACTCCATATAGTAGCTGCCCGCGCCTCGGATCTCCCGTCGCGCCAGGTGGTGCGCGCCTCTACTTGCTCCTCCTCCTCCTCCTCCTCCTCCTCCTCCTCCTCCTCCTCCTCCTCCTCCTCCTCCTCCTCGTCCTCCTCCTCCCTCCCATCCTCCCTCCTCCTCCTCCTCCTCCTCCTCCTCCTCCTCCTCCTCTCTCTCCTCCTCCTCCTCCTCATCATCATCATCATCATCATCATCATCTCTCATCATCATCAGCATCGTCATCATCATGCTCCTCCTCGTCCTCCTCCTCGTCCTCCTCCTTCTTCTTCCCTCCTCCCATCCTCCTCCTCATCATCATCATCATCACCATCATCATCATCATCATCATTCATCATCATCATCATCATCATCATCATCATCCCTCCTCCTCCTCGTCCTCCTCCTCCTTCTCCTCCTCCTCTTCCTGCTCCTTCTCCTCTCCTCTTCCTTCGTCTCCTCCTCCTCCTCTTCCTCCTCCTCCTCCTCCCTCCTCCTCGTCCTCCTCCTCTTGTTCTTCTTCTTCTCCTCCTCCTCCTCTCTCCTCTCCTCCTCCTCCTCCTCCTCCTCCTCCTCCTCCTCCTCCTCCTCCTCCTCCTCCTCGGCCTCCTCCTCCGCCTCCTCCTCCTGACCCTCCTCTTCTTCTCGGCTACACGTAAGAGTGTCTTTGGCCGGAGTGACCTTTGATGCGGGCCCAGGGGTCCCTTAATCGCTGAGCGCGAATCGGTAGCAGCGGTGTGGCCATTTCGCAGCCCTGTGAAGCCGCGCACCAGAAGTCACTCTTGCCCAGGGTCACTCTTGCGTGTAGCCGATCCTCATCATCCTCCTCGAGGGCGGCCTTGCAGGCTGTCGCCTTCCTCCCTCCCTCCTCCTGCCCGTTCCCTCCTCCCTCGTTGCTCCCTCCTCCCCCTCACCCTCCTCCGCCGTCATCACCATCATCAGCAGCAGCATCAGCAGCAGCAGCAGCATCATCATCACCACCACCACCACCCTCAGATGTTTATCATCATCACTAGCAGCAGCAACAGCATCAGCATCATCATCAGCAGCATCAACATCATCGTCATCGTCATCATGATTGTTATCGTCATCGTCATCATCATCAGCAGCATCATCAGCATAACATCACTCACCATCAGAATCACCATCAGCATCAACAACACGATCATCATCAGCAGCAGCCACCGTATCATCAGCAGCAGCATCATCAGCATAATCGTCAGCATCATCAGCATAATCATCAGCATCAGTATCAGCATCAGTATCAGCATTATCAGCATCGTCATCATCATCGTCATCATCAGCATCGTCATCCTCATCGTCAACAGCATCATCAGCAGCAGCAACCGCAGTATCATCAGCAGCAGCAGCAGCGTCGTCATCGTCATCATCATCATCATCATCATCATCATCATCATCATCATCATCATCATCATCATCATCGTCTCCATCATCATCATCATCATCATCATCATCATCATCATCATCATCATCATCATCATCATCGTCATCATCATCATCACCATCATTATCATCATCCTCATCAGCATCATCATCATAGTCATAGTCATAGTTATAGTTATAGTCAGAATCATAGTCATAGTCATAGTCATAGTCTTCATCATCGTTATTATTGTCATCAGCATCATCATCAGCAGCATTTCCGTCATTCTCCTCATCGCCAGCATCCTTCGATTGTGATGCTCTTCCTTAACGCATGATGCTTCCTTCCTCCTTTTCCCGCGCCTCCCCTCGGACAGGGACGACGTGGAGGAGGAGGCGGAGGGGGAAGGAGGGGGAAGGAGGGGGAAGGAGGAGGAGAACGAGGAGGAGAGCGAGGTCGACGAGAGGACGAGGAGGAGGGCGAGGAAGCGGGAGGAGGAGGAGGAGGAGGAGGGCGAGGAGGGGGAGGAGGGGGAGGAGGAGGAGGAGGAGGAGGAGGAGGAGGAGGAGGAGGAGGAGGAGGAGGAGGAGGAGGAAGAGGAGGAGGAGGGGGAGGAGGAGGAGGAGGAGGAGGAGAGGAGGAGGAGGAGGAGAGGAGAGGAGGAGGAGGAGGAGGAGGGGCAGGAGGAGGACGCCGGCGGCGACGAGGAGGCGACGAAGACGAGGCTCGCCGCGGGCTCGCGCCGCCGTTGTCGGGCCGCGGCGGGCGGGCACGCCGCGGGCCACCCTGGCGGAGCGCTTGGGGGCGGCGTGCGGCGGGGCTCGCGCGCGCGGTGCTCCCGCTGGCGAGGAGGCCGCTGGCCGACGGCCTCGAGGAAGGAAGACATGCTCCAGATCTCGTAAGAAAAGGGAGGGGGGTCTCAACCCTCCCAGACGAGAAGTTTTACCCCCCCCCTGGGAGAACCCCTCCAAAACGTCGTCCCCAGACCCCCCCCGGCCCTCCGAGATAGCCTGGAGACCCCCCCCGAAATGAGACCCCCCTCCCTTTTATTACGAAATCTGGAGTACATGCGGCCAAGACGCCGCAGTGTTGACCGCTCCGGGTTCGGGTCCGGAGGGGCTCGCTGTTCCTTGGGCCATGCCGTCGTTGTTCCTCCAGCCCTCCTCGTGCACCCAGGCTCGCACGGTGCCAAGAAGGTGCGTCCTCCCTGATGTAACGTTCTGTCTTTCAGCAGCCCGACTGCAAACAAACTTTTGGAGCTCCGCGCGGATTTCTTGGATTGGCGCTGAGGCCCCTGGACCAGCGCCGATCCAAGAAGTCCACGCGGAGATCCAAAAGTGTATGCTCCTGCAGTTTTTTCTTCTTGGAGAGTGGCTCCCCATCATTCTTCGCCGCGCCCGCGGCCGGGATCGGCTTCCGCGGAAGGCACCCGTTCAGAGGAGGGCGAGCTGGGACGACGACAGTTGGCCTCCAGGGCCCCCTCTCGGCGCCACGGCCCGACGCAGCTCGGAGCGCCCGTGCGTGCGGCCTCCGGCAGAGCTCTGGGGGGACCGGTTCTGAGCCGCCGCCGGCTCGGCTCGCCCTGCTCCGAGCCGCACACCAACACGGCCGGAGGCTTTGGGCCGTGTGCGATTCAACAGAGGCTTACGGTAGGTTCGTGTCGTGTCGACCAGCGGCGACCCCGCCAGCGGCGTTCAACGTTGAACGCCGCGGGGGACCCAGAATCGTTCGATGTGGAGCGATTGGGACGTTTCGGAAACGGCCGATCGTTCAAGGTTGAACGATTCCCGCGGTGTCAAGAACCATCGCCTGGGTCGACACGACGCAAACCTGCGGTACGCCACATCCGCCGACCCCTTTGTATTTTTTTGGGGGGGGGGCAGGACCTCTGGAAAGCCGTTTTGAGAGCGCTTCGGGTCGACAAAAAAAAAGCGCGGCCGGGGGCTCTGGGCCGTGTTCGATTTCCTGGGGGCCCTGGCCGCCCCGGTGGTTGCAGAAGCCAGCCCCGGCCGCAGGGGCGGCCGCCTCGAAGGGGCCAGGCCCTCTGGGGGTTGCCACGCTGCGAAAGCATCTCAGCGTTGGATGTTGGGGTGCACCACCGTCACTGTGCCCGGCCACGGCCGGTTGGGTTTTTTTTCGTTTTTTTTTGTTTTTTTTGTTGTTGTTTTTTGTTGTTTTGCAATCCGGTGTTTTTTGTTTGTTTTGCTTGTTTTTGTTTGTTCGTTTTTTTTTGTTTTGCAATCCTTCGAGCGGCGCATGCGCTCTCGTGGCCTCGGCCAGAGGAGCGAGCGCCAGACCACCCCTTTGGGGCGCGAGGGTGGTCGCGCGTCGCGCGTCGCGGCCTGGGCCAGGCAGCTGCCTCTGCAGGGCGGCCTCGCGAGGTGCGCGCGCCGCGCCCCGCGGGGCGCCACGCACGAAGTTGGGCGACCTTAGCAGTCGGCTACACTTAAGAGTAACCTTTCGCCGGAGTGACCTTTGGTTCGGGCCCAATGGGGCCCCCCGATCGCCGAATGCGATGCGATACCAGCGGCTTGCGCGTCCGGTGGTGTCCCCAAAGGGCCCCCACTAGGGCTGCGCACCAAAGGTCACTCTTGCCTAGAGTCACTCGAAGCAGGTGCACAGCATGCCAGGGCCCAGAGTGGCCCTGCTCGGGCGCGGTGAGGCGCGGTGGCGGTGTATGGGTGCCGTCTGCGTATGGCTGTGGGATCGAGCCGTGGCGGCCCTGGTCTCCATGGAGCGCGGGGGGGGGCTGCCTGGGCCCTTGGAGCCCGGCCGAGCTCTGCCGCGGGCGCCCGGGTGGGCAATCCGGGCGCCGCGAGGGCAGCGCAGACCGCGGCTCGGAGCTCGTTTTACACCTTCAGCCTCCTCCCCCTCCTCCTCCTCCTCCTCCTCCTCCTCCTCCTCCTCCTCCTCCTTCTCCTCCTCCTCCTCCTCCTCCTCCTCCTCCTCCTCCTCCTCCTCCTCCTCCCTCCTCCTCTCCTCCTCCCTCCTCCTCCTCCTCCTCACCCTCCTCCTCGTCACCCTCCTCGAGGGCAGCCTTGCAGGCTGTCGCCGTCCCTCCTCCCTCCCTCTGCCCGCTCCCTCCTCGCCTTCCTCCTCCCTCCTCCTCCTCCCCTCCCCTCCGCCCCGCCTCCTCCCTTCCCCCTCCCCCAGGGACTCGTGCACCTGCAGCGCGAGAGCCTGCAGCCCAACTCCGCCCTCAACCCCTCCCCCCCTGCACTGTGGTGGCCGCGCGCGCCCCTCCGGCGCGGCCGCGCGGCGTGGGCAGCTCGCCGCCCCCGCGGAGCCCCCGCGCCGCCCGAGGCGCCGCGGCGTGCCCCCGGCCGGCGGGCCTCCCCGCCGCGGACCGCGCGGGGCGCGCGCGCCCCGGGAAGCAGCGGGCGGAGCTCCCTCGCAGCGGCGGCCCGCGCGCCGACGACATGGCGGCGGCAGGCGGCGGCGAGGCGGCGGCGACGGCGACGGCGACGTCCGCGTCCTCGACGGCGCTGGCCGCGGCGGCGCCGTCGTGCTCGCGCGGCCCGCGCAGCTGCCCTTGCCGTCGAGGGCGGCAACGGAGACGGCGACGGCGGCGTAATCATCTCGGGGGCGGCCCCAGCCGAAGGGCAGCGGCGGCGGAGACGGCACAGGTAGAAGTGTTCGGAAGCCCGCGCGGTTATCTTGGGTCTGCGCAGGGACCCCCCCCCGCCTCCGTCGCAGCCTCTGGCGCCAGAGGCACGCCGGAGGGAGAGGGATCCCGCGCCCACAGCAGAAGTCCGCGCGGGCATGATAAAGTTCCTGCTCATATCCTGTTTTGTTTTTCTCGGCGACGACGACGACGACGACGACGACGACGACGACGACGACGACGACGACGACGACGTCTTCACCACCTCGGAGGATTGGCGGCGTTTCTGGAGGTTCTCGCCGCCACGGCGCCTCGCGATGCGATGGCGACCGAAAAAAGAAGTCTTGCGGGCTGCCTGGAGGGCGGCTCGCGGGCACAGGATCGATGATCAAGGGCCGCCGTCGATGTCGAGGTGGGCTTTTCGCAGGTTCTCGCCGCCGCGGCTGCGCGCGGCTCGAAAACTTGGCGAGGGTGGACTCCAGGAGGGACCCACAGCGACCGAGGTCGAAGTAGCTGTGCATCGTCGAGGATCGGGTCTCTGCTGTGCGTCTGTGTGGGGTGTGACATGTTGCCCCGGGGTGCTTCTCGTGGCAGTGGCTGGTTCTGCCTCCAAGCTCTGGCCACGCAGCAGCCTGCGACAGGCCAGGTGGGGGTCTATTGTAAAGGCCCTACGGCAGGTGCCGCCGCCCACGACGACAGCGACGTCGACGACCACGACGACAGCGACGATGACGAGCTGATGGCCCTGCCGCAGGCTGGGGACATGGGGCGGGCGGTGGAGGGAGGTGGAGGAGGAGGAGGAGGAGGAGAAGGAGGCAGAGGAAGAGGAGGAGGAGGAGGAGGAGGAGGAGGAGAAGGAGGAGGCGGAGGCGGAGGCGGAAGCGGAGGCGGAGGCGGCGGAGGACGAGGAGGGGGAGGTAATTACGACGTTGTTCAATCTCCTTCGTTTTTTCGAATTCTCTTATGACGATGACGAGTCAAAGGAGGCCGGCGTACTTTCTTTGGGTTAGGGTGGCCTCGCGTCGAAGGGCCTCTCACACACGCCGACTTGGTCGGCGGATTTAGAGGCTCGGGACAAGGACCCAGCTTTGCGGCGTCCTTAAGCGGCACTAGATCATTATTTTTGTTACAGTCGCCTATCGAGGACGGGTTCGACCAACGTCAAGTTTGAATGTTTGGAACGATGGTTTGACTTGGCCTGCTGCTTCATATTAAGCTTCAGCACGAGAATCACGCGCTTCACATTCTCGCATGCGTATGACGTCTGGTGCCGCATGATTAGGTATACACGCACTGGTCCTTGTTAGAGACACACGCTGCGACACGACACACAGATGTCAGGAAGTATAGACGGCAGAGAAAGTTCTAGCAAGCCAAATCGGTACGGCCGACAACGTCGGGTGTGAAGGACATGCAGTAACGGCAGCGAATTGAACCGAAGTGATGCCTTTTATCCCTGAATTCGAAAAGGGGCACACCTCGGAGCAAGTTTCTTGCCGCGAGACTGTTCCTGCCCAGCGCAAGCAGCAGCCTGACCAAGATCCCGCTCTGCGCTGGGTCGGCAGCATCGGGAGCAGCAGGATTTCCAGGATTGCAAATGCGAAGTATCGAGAATCAGCAGATGTAGCAGCTTGGCCGATACATCATGATCTGGCGCATGGAGAAACAGCATCGGCAAGTGGTGGAGAGGGAAGGGCACTTGCACGACACATACGGCGCCAAGTGCAGAACAGGAGCGCTCCTTTTTCGGCAGTCTCCTCTTCGCATGGCATGGTGCGCTGTCCAGAAGTATTATATGACCTGTTCTTCTTGATTGACGACATGTGTGATATCTGAACCGTCTATCTCTTCCATGCCGTCTGATGAAATGATCGGGTGGTGGCGTTCGTTGAGGAACTGCCCAGGAGGCTTCAGACCCTGGAGGGTTCCTTAGCTGATGAGGGCGACGGTGATATCCATGGCCAGTTCACGATTGCAATTCCGCCAGCTTCCAGACCATGGCTTCCTTATCTAACGATTCCTTATCCCATGCCCTCACTGTATCGGCGTCGGCACCGGCGAAAGTCCTGCGTAGGTTGGTGCTGCGGGGCGCCTCCCCGGAGGGCGGTAACAGGTTGTGTGGGGAGCATGGCTGCGGACGCCGTCGATCTGCACCCCTGAAATCTATCAAAGGCGCCTGCGGTAGGTTCGTGTCGTGTCGACAGGCGGCGACCCCGCCAGCGGCGTTCAGCTTTGAGCGCCGCGAGCGACCCAGAATCGTTCGATGTGGAACGATTTGGACGTTTCGGAAACGGCCGGTCGTTCAAGGTTGAACGATCCCCACGGTGTCAGAAACCAACGCCGAAGTCGGAACGACACGAACCTGACGTACGGCGAATCAGTGTTTCACCCTGCCGTTCAGGATTCGCCTATGTGGCCAAACGTTTTGGCAAAGTTTGGCCACGCTCTTGGACCTTGCGTCCCCCCGGCCGCTCTGGAAGCACTTCGGGGAGCACGCGGGGGAGGAAGAGGAGGATGAGGAGATGAGGAGAAGGAATGAGGAGACCTCTTGGGAGCTTGTTGGGTCATTCTTGGGGCCTCCTGTGAGCTTCCTGGGGGCCTCTTGGAGGCCTTCGGGGGGCCTCCTTGGGCCTCTTTGGGAACTTCTGGGGCTTCTTGGGGGCCTCTTTTGGCTGTCTTACGGCGGTGAGACGCCGTCGGAACCCGTTTTGGGAGCCACTCTGGGCCGTCTTGGGGCCGTCTTGGGGCGCTTGAGGGTCATCTTGAAGGCCATCTTCGGCGTCTTGGAGGCTTCTTGGGCAGTCTTAGGGCCATTTGGGGGCCGTCTTGGGAGCCTCTTGGGCTGTCCTGGGGCCATCCTGCAGGCCTCTTGGGCGATCTCGGGGCAGGATTGGGAGCCTGTCGGGTCGTCTCGGGCCGTCATAAAGCAGTTTTACAGCAAATGCCAACATCTTTTAAGAACATGTTGAAGATAAATGGATTTGGCCTCTTTGGGCCTTCCTGGAGGACCGCTTGGAGTCCTCTTAGACCGTCTCAGGGGCCTCTCAGACCGTCTTGGGCTCTCTTGGGTCATCTCGTCTGTATTGGAGGCATCTTGGGACCGTCTTGGAGGCCATCTTGGGGTTATCTTGCGCCCCTTGTGGGCCATTTTGCCCGTCTTTAAAGCATCTTGGAGGCCATCTTGGTCGTCTTGGAGCCAATGGGGCCCATGGAGGCCGAACTTTGGGAGCTCTTCGGGTGGCCGGCGGGCTGGGCCGAAGCCCCAGGGGGGGATTCCTAGGAAAAGAACCCAAATTTCCCAGACATCTCGCACACCGTGCATCCCTGTGGTAAGCCAACAGGGGGCGGCGGATCGAATGGCCTTCGGCCTATCCCGCCACCGTGCCTGAGTTGTGGGTCCTAGGCCTCTTGGATGTTCGTTGGGATGCCGTGGGATTGTAAGCCGATCAGGAGATTGGAGAGTCCCAGCCCTTCAGCGGAGCTCGCCCCGCTAATGGGAGCGAAGCGATGGAAATTTGTTGGGTTGGGGTCAGTTAGCGAAGTGCCGCTCCGCCAATGGGAGAGAGGCAATCCGAATCCCCTGGTTCGAGGCCAATGGGCGGAGCGCGGCACTCCGCTAATCAGGGCCACGCACTCGCAATCCTTCTGTTTGAAGCCAATCAGCGGAATGCCGCTCCGCAAAGGTGGACGCGCCAAATCTCAAGAGCATGTGGATTCGTGCCGCTAGAAGAGCCCTCAGCATTGAGGATGGAGGTTCGAGGGATTGCGCAAGGGACCTGAGGACACTCCACCTCGTGCCACAAGGGCACGGTGGCAGATGACGCTGCTAGGTGCACTCGTGGCGATGTGTCGTCTGGCCGTGCCCCCCTCCCCCGTGCCGCCCTGTAGAGCTGCAGCCTGCTGCTGGGGTGCCGTCCAATCCAGCCACTGGTGGTATCCAGCCACGCGCGGGCTTCCAACACCCAATCCCTGAACTGGGTGCTGCCGGGTGGAGACCATGGTTGGTGTCATCGCCCCCGTTCTTTTGTACGGCGGTGGCGTAGGTTAAGGAATGTGCCCAGGAGGCTTCAGACCTTGGAGGATTCCTTATCTGGTGAGGGCGGTGGTGATATCCATGGCCAATCCACGATTGGAGTTCCGTGGGCTTCCGGACCCTGGATTCCTTATCCGATGGTTCTTTTCCATTGCCCTCGCCATGTTCAATGGCCGCTAAGAGAGAGAGCAATACGATTTAGTGCATCGGGAAGTGTGGTGTGATCGTGGAGTTCTTGGATGCGGTGCTTAGGCGACGTATGCTCCTTGGGAGCGCAGGTCCGCGCTCCCCTGGGAGCGGCTTGTTTCCAAAGAGACTGCGTTCAAGCATGTGGGTGGTAGGATCCTGACGGTTCCTGGAATACCCTAGCATATTTTAAAGTTGCTTTCCGTCGGTGACTGGCGTGTGCTTGTTTTGATCGCAAATAACTCGTTTACGAGTGGTTGCTGGCTCCCAAACCCAGATCGCACATGCCCTCGAAGGTGACGGTGGAGTTTGGGCTCGAGATATAGGTGGTCGGTAACACCCTGTGAGCGGGGGCCAGCCATAGGCCAGCTCCGCTACCGAGTCGGAAGTGCCAGGCCAGAGTCATGAATGGTATTGGCTATTCTGTCTTGGATTGGATGAGGGACATGTGTCGTTTCCCTTGCAGATAGCGCGTACGCGAGCAGATAGGCCGCGCGTGGTTTGGGCCAACACGGCGGCGAATGCAATCATCTTGCGTACTCCCCCCCCGTAAGGTCTTTTTAAAGTCCTTCGCTTTCCCCCTCGTGGGACCGTCTTGTCTTGCGGGCCTTTGGGGCCACTCTTGGAGGCTCTTGGGCCGTCGTGAGGCCCTCTTGGATGGGATGGGGTAGTATCCGGGGGTGTCGTGATGCGATCTTGGAGTCCTCCTGGGACGTCTTCGGGCGTTGGAAGCTCGAAAAGGGGACAATTGCAAAGTTGTCCAAAAACAACTATCCTGGCGAAGGACCCAACCATATGCAAACGTGAATACCGCAGGGCAAGTAGGACGAAGCAAGAGGAATTCTCTATGGGGCCGCGATCCTCGTGAGGGGTGTGCCGAAATGGCCCGAGGCCGCCATGCGAACGCTGCCACTGGCGCCATCCATGGAGCTCCCTTATGGGGCCACGATCCTCGTGAGGGGTGTGCCGAAATGGCCCGAGGCCGCCATGCGAACGCTGCCACTGGGGCCTTCGGTGGAGCTCCCTATGGGGCCACGATCCTCGTGAGGGGTGTGCCAAAATGGGGCGGGGCCGCCATGCGAACGCTGCCACTGGGGCCTTCGATGGAGCTCCCTATTGGGCCACGATCCTCGTGAGGGATATGCCGAAATGGGGCGGGGCCGCCATGCGAACGCGGCCACTGGGGCCTTCGGTGGAGCTCCCTATGGGGCCACGATCCTCGTGAGGGGTATGCCGAAATGGCCCGAGGCCGCCATGCGAACGCGGCCACTGGGGCCTTCGCTGGAGCTCCCTATGGGGCCACGATCTTCGTGAGGGGCGCGCCAAAATGGGGCGGGGCCACCATGCGAACGCTGCCACTGGGGCTCGGGGCGGAGGCCGCTGCGAACGCGGCCACTGGGGCCTTCGGTGGAGCTCCCTATGGGGCCACGATCCTCGTGAGGGGTATGCCGAAATGGGGCGGGGCCGCCATGCGAACGCGGCCACTGGGGCCTTCGGTGGAGCTCCCTATGGGGCCACGATCCTCGTGAGGGGTATGCCGGAATGGGGCGGGGCCGCCATGCGAACGCGGCCACACTGGGGCCACGATCCTCGGTGGAGCTCCCTAACGCGGCCACTGGGGCCACGATCCTCGTGATGGGGTGGGGCCATGCCGGAGGGGTATGCCGAAATGGGGCGGGGCCGCCATGCGAACGCGGCCACTGGGGCCTTCGGTGGAGCTCCCTATGGGGCCACGATCCTCGTGAGGGGTATGCCGAAATGGGGCGGGGCCGCCATGCGAACGCGGCCACTGGGGCCTTCGGTGGAGCTCCCTATGGGGCCACGATCCTCGTGAGGGGTATGCCGGAATGGGGCGGGGCCGCCATGCGAACGCGGCCACTGGGGCCTTCGGTGGAGCTCCCTATGGGGCCACGATCCTCGTGAGGGGTGCGCCAAAATGCGGCGGGGCCGCCATGCGAACGCGGCCACTGGGGCCTTCGGTGGAGCTCCCTATGGGGCCACGAAACGCTGTACTGGGTGGGTGAAACGCAGGGAGGAGAGGGGAGGAGGAGAGGAGGAGGAGGAGAGGAGAGGAGACGCGGGCCACCGTCTCTTCAAAACGAGGACCCAACACCACAGGATGGTTGGGAAAAACTTGTCGTGGCAAGTACACTGAGTCGGTCCTCTGGGGAATCCTCGTCGGGCCTTCTTGAGGCGTCTTGGGGGGCCTCTGGGGCCGTCGTTGGGCCATCTTGAGCCGTCTCGGGAAGCTCTGGGGCCGCCTCGAGGCCTCTTGGACGCCTTGTGGGCTTCTTGGCGCCCCTTTGGCCGTGTGGGGCCCCCCCCTGGCTTCTGAACAAGTCGTGCGGGGCGCCCCAGGAGGCACGCGGGGGGGCCCCGCAAATCCAGGATTGGGCGTCTGGCCCGCCTAGTGCTGGAGATCACAGAGGACCTGGGGGGGGGGGGGCATTCCACGCAGTGCCTCGCAGTTGTCTGCATGTGTTACTTCGAAGCGCACTCGACCCTTCAAAGATT